TCCCCACCGGAGATATGAGATGTTAAAAATGGCCGATTTGGGGCCCAGAGCAAAGTTTGGAAGCTCCTGGAAAATTTTGGAAACTAGGTACGGGATTCAAAACTAAGTGATTATATTCCCCATATAGGTAACAACAAATGGTAGAAATCACAGATCTGATACTTTCCCCCTCCCATTGGTTTTTGAAGGTCAAAAATAGCGTTTTTCCCAAAATCGATAGGTAAGTTTCAAGTTTAATTACACCTACAGAAAGTGAGCTGAGTAAAAACTTGTAATAATATGATTTGTAGTCCATATCATGAGGAACAAATAGCGTTTTTATTGGAGTCTGTAGCTTCAATAGTTATCGAGATATGGAAGATAACGCAAACCTCCATTTCAGCCGAAAACGCGTTTTTTCGCATTATAAAAACGCCTGTACCGAGAGAACTGAGCGGATTAGAATTTTTTTAAAAATTTTTTTGTAGTATGAAAATATGTATAAATAAGTGTACAAAATATAATTTTTTTTAAAAATGGTGAGCGACCTTTCTGGATGATTTCACATGGAATGACCCACCCGTGACCTTCCCACTTGCAGCATAATGCCTCAACCAGCTATGCTACTGTGTTCCCTTTGGAGCAGTTATGGGAATTTAATATTATTGATGAACAGTTGCAGGAGAATGAATTGAATAAACCTTGGGTGACCGAGGCCATGAAGAATGAAATAATTAAAAAGCACAAGCTGCACCAGAAGGCTAAGAAAAGCAACGAAGAGAATGATTGGAAGGAGTTCAAGGAACAGAAGACTCGGGTGGCCACAATGATTCGTGAAGCTAAGCTTGAGTACATCGGCAGCCACCCAGAGGAGGTAAGATTTATTGTTATGTGGCTTGCACCATTTACATGAAAACATAGGGACATTTGGGGGTCCATTGCCAGAGAGTTTCCCTTCATGTGTTCATGTCTTGAGCACCACTTGTTTTTATGTAGCAGGATTTTCCAAACTTCAGTCATGTCCATCATAGGAACCCCCTGTTGTGGTTTTTGTGATGTAATCCTGTGTTACATATAAACAGTTGAGACAGTGCTCAACATAAATTCTGTTTACAAATTTCTTGAGCTCATATGTTTATCTGAACTCATGTCATGACCTGCGTTTGGGAATTGCTGCCACAGCTTGTCTTGTACCTTAGTGGTTTGTAATGAATCGGTTAAAATACTTCTTTATTTACTTATAAAACTTAAAGTTGTCATTGAACATTAGTATTATGTAAGCTTATTGAATAATCTTTGCTAATAATTTTACTGTGCTTCCTTATGCCACTATATTACATGTCCCATAATTTTGTTGATATATTATTGCATTAATTATTTGTCATGCCCTTTCTCAATCAAAACAGTGCTTTTTTAAATGAAATTGATCACTCAAAATAATCCATATTTTTTCACATGGGATTTAATTCCAGGACGTTGATAAAATCATGGCAGAAGTCAACAATAAAGGAAAGAAGTGATGAGAATATTTTGCTGGGCCCCACAGTGTAGCCTGTTTCTTATCATATCCATTCGTCACGTTTCACTTAGTGATAATCGATGTTTAATGTTAGCATTCTAAAGAACTCTGTTAGATGTGTTTCATGTGCAGTGAGTGGGGTGTTGCACGCGTGCAACAAAACAAACTGTTCTCAGTAGACATTCTCTCATTAATATCGAAGGTATGCACTAGGCAGGTCTGCTTACCCAAAACAAAATGTAAACATACACCATGTCTTAATTGCTAGAAAGTGTCTGTGTTGCGGTATGTATATCCTGCTGTGCAACGTAGTGACATTTGGTTGAATTCACTTAGATCTGGAATCGTGACATAATTCAGTGGAATTGTAGACCTTAGCAAATGTAGGTGTTAGTGACAAGTCCCCACATCAGAAAACTGGGGAGATCACTGGACCATATGCTTCACACCTTGGATGAAATTGTATCTTTCATTATATTGAGGTGGGTAAGTGGATGCTGGCTGGCTGCCTGTAAATGGCAACCGTGGAATCATAATATTATCATGTCATTTCAAAATCTGCAGTGTTGATGTACTTCAAAATTTTAGAGCATCTAACCAATCATTTGATGAGTAAATTGCTAATTTCTGACTGGTCTGGCATTCAGCAAGCAGTGCTCTGTGTTATAAGTTTTTAACAATTGTGTAACTTAGTTGCTACAGGCTTTTCATAAATGAGATGTACATTAAAACCCAAAACTGGTCCACATTTTTTGATGTTTATTAAGGAAATAAAAGACATTTATGTGGAATTTCTAAATTGTTTTAATAGTATTTTGTATACCATTCAAAATTGTATGTTTATAATTCAGTGTCTGTCAGTATTGCTGTTACTTTATATTAGTTTATATGACATAAATTACTGTTTGTGCAAGTGTGAAAAGGTAATGTTTTTTAATTGTATTTCCTTTCTGTGAACATCATTATTATGGACTGCTGTTTGAAAGTGACTGAAATTTTGCTCTAGTTGGCATTTGAAAATGAATATATATTTTAATACTGACATATATTTGTTATGCAAGAAAAATCTTTGGAGAACAGACCATGTCTCGGACATGAGGCAGTCTGTCTGTTGACCTAACATCAGCACATGATGTGCGAACTGGAGTGTCCACAGTAAGTTCACCTTCCTACTTCACTGATTTCTTCAGTAAAATGTTTCAAAATTTGAAGTACCATTGTAAGAAGTAGGGAATGCTTAATGAGGAACATACTGTTGCATGTACTTCATAGAGATGTCTCTATGATCTTAGTCATAGTGATTGTCAGTAATTATACATTGTGAGTGCAGCTTTCAAAAATAACATGAGTTCTGTATGCTGACTTGTGTTGCATCTATCTTTCATGTGCTGTTAAAATATACCAGTTTATAAATTGTGATCAGAAAGTTACAGACTTTATTTACAGTATTGACATACACACACATCAACTGTCATGGTACAGTTGGGATCTCCAGCTAACCTATGTGATTCCAGTCCCATCTCTGGATGTGCGATGTTAAATTATGCTATCGCCAGCATTGAAAGGTATAAAAGAGAATGAAAAATCCTTTTTAATTCTATTTCAAACAATGAAAAGTCTGTAGATAAGAAGTCAGTTTGACTTTGGAGTTGACTATTTTTTCCACCTGAAGCAGAAGGTAAAAAAGTTCTAAATTTAAATCACTTAAGTGAACCAAGTGTTCCAAGCTTTACTGAACTACTTTAAGCCCACATCAGTGTCATATACCAGTGTGATGCTTTTAGTGTTGCGTTAGTGCAATGCAAAATGGAGAAAGAAGAAGTGTGATTGATAGATTAGGTGAGAGAATGTTTTTTTAAATTACAGTTATGGGATATTATTGCTTAGTAAAGTAATGATTCATTTTTAGCTACATTAGCTTCAGAAGAGTGAAGTGCTGTGTTGCTGTTTGTTACTGAGAAGTTATTTACATAGCTCTAATCAAAAAATTAGAATTGAAATTAGTGCTCAGATGCACTGCCCCCCCTCCTTTGGCTCCAATGATGTTTTTTTTTTCTCTCTTGAAAGTTGGGGTTGTAAAACTAGAATAGTGTGTATATATGACAGTTACATATCAGGAAATAGTGTTTGTTGCATATTTTTTAGACCTGTTTTGTTGGGCTCCTACAGGGTAAAGAGTATTACTGTGAAACATGTGATCGAGAATTCAAGAATGAATCCAAATGGGCTCAACATGTACAAGAGCATCGTGTATGTGGCCTGGATGGGTGTCAGTTCATGGCACATCCAAAGGTCATATCAAAACATGTGCAAATGCAACATGATACAGGGTTGTACAAGAAAATCGGCAACGTGTATAGTCCAGAGGACATTGCGAAGTGGATTGCAGACAGGAAAAGGTGAGATGCAGTTCTTGTTGTAATTTTTTGGGCAAGAAACGTGATAGGTTATTGCTTTATTGGCTCAAGAAATGTGTCGTCTGTGTAACTGCATGGGCATCTTGGGTGCAGGTGAGTCTAGCAGTAACACTCCAAACTTGTATTCATGTGGTGCTCAGTTTGAATCTCAGCTGGTGAGCCACGTTTACGTATGGCTCGATTGTAGTTGTTTTGGTACTGTCAGATGGCCGGGTGTTCACCTTCCCTATTTGGCCCCCCTCCCCACTTCCTACATTGCAGAGTATGTTCTGTATTCCGGTTTATCATGTGATCTCCCCCCCCCTTCCGCCAGCTCTTCCAGTATATTCTGCCAGCTTGGTCTGAATACACAGAATGAGGACCCCTCAGTGGGTTACCAGCCATCGCAGAGGTAGGTGGAAATTCGGTTTTGAAAGTGCATTCAAAATTCAGTTTTGGTCGGTTGTTTTGACCATCAGGGGCTGTGCCTGCCTTGTGGAAGAGAGATAAATGTCGGGCATTCAGTTAAATATTGTGATATCATTGGGCTTCCTTAGTGCCTCTTTTGTATGGTAGATATTTTCTGTATATGTACATTGTTAAGTGAGTCAAGTTGAGATCTGTGTTATTTTTTTTTTTGTGTACAGATTGACAGTGCCCCAAGATTCTGTTGCCAGAGGGCTAGTTAATGAGATTGTAAGAAGATAGCCATGTATTTCTAGAGGAGAGGATTGAGGAAGAGCATTTCTCTGAATCATTGCTAGCTTCAACACCCCAGTAACAATGGGTGAATCAGGGACAACGGCAGCAATCCCCGTCCTGGAAATTCAGTAGGGTAAAGAGGGGAGGAGGTGCTCACTGGAACACCAGCTATCCTGATTGAGGTTTCTCGGCTTCTCCAGGCAAATGCCAGGATCAGGCTGTGACAGCCTCCTTCCAAATCCTTTCTAGTTTGTCATCTGCTATGTGGACTAGATATGGACAGGATCACGAAATAACCCCCTGTAACATATCAGTTTAGGATATCTTCCATTTAGTTTTTGTTGTGGGGCCAAAATCTGCTGCTACCAGGAGGCCTGTAATGTGATGCTGCTGTATGGAGGGGTTTGTTTGTGATGTGAAACACTTTGCTGCTCAGCTATACGTCTAGGCCCAGGAGTTAAGTATTTGACCATAGTGAACAGTTGGGGGCCACACCATACCTACAGGTGGGAAAGTTACAGGTTTGATTCCCCATGAGGTCACTTGATTTTTCAATTGACCTAGTCCTACCAGGCACACAGTGGCCCCTGGGGTCAACTCAGCCTCAGACAGAAGTGAGTACCAGAAATCTCCCTGGGGGTAAGGGGGGGGCATCCAGTGCTTGAGGCTGACAACCTCACCACCATCTGTGTACTGATTGTCTAGAAAATGTGGGAGCCTCGATGTCTCAGAATCCTTTGGGCCTCCACAGCCTGTTACAGGGATGGCTTTACTTTTTTTCTTTAGTGAAATAGTTCTTGGAGGTGAGGAAGCTCTGACAGTAGTTGTATCAACAATCAAGTTGGCTCAGTCACTAATGTTTCGATTCAAGTCTTTGTGAGTACAACTATCATGAATGAGGTTTCTCATGGGTTTCCTCAGCCTGTCCAAACATGCTGGTATAGTACTCAGACTTGGCTATGACTGCTACTGCATTCTTTTTCCAGTTCATTATTAACCTACCATTTGTCTACCTACTGTTCATCCTACCAATGGGCACTACTTAATTGAACATTATGACGGCATCATTAAATGAACAAATTAATAAGTAAAATATGTTTCTCCCATGACAGTTCTGTTTCACTTTCCATATCAAAATTTATAATAAACATATTCTATCATGTATTATGCAGCGGGAACAAAAATAATTAGAACATTTCTGTAAATGTTTGTAGCCCTTCCATATTCTTATTTATAGACTGTATCCTACTAAGGAGCATGTAGCACAGAGACAAGCTGAACAAGAGGAGAAGTTGAAGAGGGGCGAGAGACTTGGTGAAATTAAGAATCGCTTTGGGAGGAATTCAGTTTCCTTTAACTCAGGAGGAAGGAGGGGCACAGGTGGAGGTAAATGTGATTTTGTAAGTTTGAATAACAATATCTTGTGAATATGACGAGGCAGGAGAATGTATGTTAGGAGGTGGAGGTGATTTGATGTTGGTAGGCGGTTGTGTTCCTTTGTGGATGAAACTTTGAGTTGGCTTGACAAGTTTCTAACTGTCAGTAGTGTTAAAGCATTCATTCTCCGGTATTGGACATACTTCTTGCACCTCCTCGGCCTCCAGATCTTTCAGCTCTTGATTATTTCTCTGGGGATGCCTGAAAGACTGTTTTGAATCAGGATGTATGCCCTTCAGGAACTGAAGACTTGGATAAAACAAGAAGTTCAGACTTACTACAGCATGTGATGAACAGTTTCCTTCATGAAAGGGTACAGGAAATAGTGAGAGGCCATGGAGAGCATTTGATTGGTGTCATTTTTAAGAAGTAATTATTTAGTAAATATATTGTGATCAGAAGTTTTTCCAAGCCCCTAATTGTTGCGCAAGCTTCAGAAGAGAAAGCATACTCAGTGCTACAGACTTGTTTTGTTCAGTTATCATACTGGGGTAGAATTGTCTGGCATATCTTGCCTGGTGTGAGAAATTGCTAGAAGCCTCCAAACTCTGTGTGTCAGCAAACACAGGTCTTCCTCTCTCCACTCCCTCATATTTATAATAATTTTGTACGTAATTGTTTCTTCAGTTTTATCACATAAAATCGGTTGTGTGATATAAAATTCTTTTTAATATGAAAGCACCATCTTTATCAAGTTGACCAATTGTCTATAACTTGGCTCTGGCATCTCTGCTGTAACAGCCATATGTCATCTCCAGGAGATTTTTATGTTTACACTTAGATTGTGCTAGCATTTGTTGTGTTATCAGCAGATGACTGCCCTGTGCTGTCTTTTTGACCAGACAGTAAAATTGATTTATCAGTACACAGCAAAGAGGATAGAAGAACAAGATATATCACTGCAGTAGCAGGTACTTCCTGTCATTTGAATGTAAATGCAAAGGCAAGCAGGGGTGCCAATCGAACTATACTTCAGAGGGTTAATACTCTGTTTTATTTCAATGTTCCCAGGCTTTGGAAGAAGGGGTAGAGGTAGAGGCCGAGGCCATCCGTATAGGTCCTTCCCCTGTGCCAACAGCAACTCTGGGGCAATGGACAAAACTAGGAAAAGGCTGCAGTTGGAGATTGCTCATGAAGTGGAAGACAATGTGTGCAGAAAACTTCCTCCATTCCCTGGCACAGGTAAGAAGTGTAAGAGGCATAATTTTCTGTAGTTGTGTGGTGATGTCAGTAGTGACACTTGGGCCAAACACTTCTGAACATTGTTTCAATTTAGCTGCATTCAGTGATGTGATGGTGGCGGCATCTATTGGAGAAGGTGGCAGTGACGAAGATCATGGACAGTTCAGCGACTCAGAGTGGGAGGCTGCAGGCAGTGTTGCACCAAGTAACATACACGTTCCAGTTGTAAGCAAAGCTTTAAGCAGTCTTATGGGGCTATATGCATCAGAATCTGAAGGTAAAGTAGTCTGATAAAGAGTGAGACCCTGTTTTGTCCCCAAACATTTAGCGAGTATCTTTTCTGGTCCCAGCCACAAAGCCTACTATTATCAGTGATGTATTATTTTCCCATATTTAATGAAGTTTAGTTTCGGTTTAGTAAATAACCTGCATTTAGTGTAATAAACCCATGTTTGCTCTTTGCTGTTAAGTCTTTGGCAGTTGATGTTGCATATCGAACACACAGCTCCCCTCTGTTATGAATGGTATTTAAAGTTTCACCATGCATAGTTTCTAAATTTGTGTAGTATTTAAAGAAAGATAAATAGAATTTGAGGGTGTGCTCTGGATTCATCTGTCTGCCTCAGGATAGGTTCCAGTGGGACTCTTGTGAACAGGCTAAGGATTCCTTGAATTCCACAAAAGGCAGATAATTTCTGGAGTGCTAAGTGACATTCAGTTTTTGAAGAAGGCTTGTGCTTCGTGGAGTTAGTTTAGAGGGTAGTGACTATACAGACAGGCAGTTGTAAGTTGTTGATTCTGAACTTTTTGTAATCTGTTTTAGGTGAAGAGGGCAAAGTGTCGCCAACTTGTGTCTTGTCTCACACAAGAATGGAAGAGGCAGTCCCTTGTGACAGTAGTGGAGTTAATAATGTAGACGTTGAAGGTAGTAGGACAATTATCACCACATTTCATAAGCAACATGAACACAGTTCAAAGTGCAGTGGCAGTGATAGTGGCCCTGATGAGGCCCCAATACTGCGTGAAAGCAGGAGTAACACATTTCTTACATGCGTGGAGTCTCATGAACATAGAGGTACTGCTGAGAACACTCGCAGGAGGAGGAGGCATCATAAACATAGTTCATGCAAGAAAGTTAACTCACCTGCCACTGAGAAAAGAGACAACATGAATAATGAAAGAAATAGTATAAATAAATTGTTACATGTGAGACAGAGGAAGCTGACTCTACTGGAGAAGGTAGGTGAATGTAATGTAATTGTTAGGTTTCTCTTTTCTAGTTACAGGATATGAGGGTGTGGTCTGGATTCATCTATCTGGCTCAGGATAGGTTCCGGTGGGACTCTTGTGAGCAGGATAAGGATTCCTTGAATTCCACAAAAGGCAGATAATTTCTGGAGTGCTAAGTGACCTTCAGTTTCTGAAGAAGGTTTGTGCTTCATGAAGTTAGTTTAGAGGTTAGTGACTATACAGACAGGCAGTTGTAAGTTGTTGGTTGGCCACACCATAGCTCAAACGGTTAGTCGCTGGCTTCCCACCACGCTTGCTCGGGTTCAATCCCGGGTCTGGTCAAGTGGGATTTGTGGTGGAATAAGTGGCTCTGGGGCAGGTTTCCTCCGAGTACTTCAGTTTCCCCTGCCAATCTTCATTCCATTAATTGCTCCACAATCACCCTCACTTATCATTTGGGGCTCGTACAATAGGCCAGAAGTGGCCGCAGTACAAGGGACTTGGTCCCACCCCACTAGTATAAAAAAAAGTTCTGAATTGTTGGTAATAATCTGTTTTAGGTGAAATGCCATTTGTATGTATACATAAAGTGATTTTTAATTTATTGTTGACTAGCATCATCTCTGAGACATTGTATACTGCTGTGACCCTATCTCTCAGGCGTTTGTAAGTTTGTGCGTATAGCGCTAGTATTTCATCCTGTCAGCAGATGGCTACCTTATGCTCTTCTGCAGTTTTTATTTTACCAGCGAAGTTATTTTGTCTCTTGATATGCACCAGAGTAAACCTAAAAATAAGATAACACTGCAGCAATGCTGCCATTTAAGCATAGCTGCAAGGGCTGGCAGGGTGCCATTTGAAGAAGTTTTCCAGCGGCTAATTATGTGGTATACGTGTATGTATATATATAAAGTATTACAGAGATTGATTAGTTAGTTATTGGAGAGGGTGGGTTTCCCCATGTCCTTAGACCAGTATTGGTCTATGATATTCTACCAGTCTCTATACCCTACCAATACTGGTGCGTACCATCAGTCTCGACCGAGCCAGCGAGTTCGGCCTCTACTGGCTTAGCGGTATCTATAATGCTTCCCCCATCTATCAGAGGCGATAGAGACTACTGTTGGGCGGGAAATGTTCTTGAATTTGGCTCAGTGACCTCCTTTGGAGATATGAGGTTCTTTTATGTGCTGTAAAGCTACGACACGGGACCCACAGCTTAAAGTCCCTCCTGGAGGACTTGTTCCCTGAATTTTTCCGCCCTTAAAAATTCCACGACCTCTGCCGGGTTTGAACCCGCGTACCACGAGTCATTAGGTGGGAACGTTACCTCTAGGCTACGGAGGCCACTTACAGAGATTGATTACATGAATGAACTTCCATGACCTCAGATTATGTGATACTTTGTTGAAGGGATATTTGCCTAGTCTTCTGTTCCCAAGATTTAACACATTAAAGCCCAGTGGTTGCTATATATACAGCGTGATTTAGCACACTAAAACTTTGTAGTCTGTTGACAAAGTGTGTTTTTGTATTCTGTACAGTTCTCATAGTAAACAGCGAATGTTTCCCTAAACAGCATTAATGAGTTGGGCTTTTTAGTGGAGATGTAATGTGTTTCCTGTGAGGTATGGACTGAATTTTTATATATTATTTGGAAGAAATTCAGTCTCTAAAGAGTTAACATCTGAATGCTGATGGCTTAATGGACTAGGTTTATTGATGTCATTATATTTTCTTAGCACATTGTGATGTCTAAAATGCCTGTTGCAGTAACAGCACGTTTCTGTTTTAGCTTTTGAGCCGTGAAATCAGACATGAGAGAAACATGGTTTTGCAGTGTGTCAGATATGCTATACAGAATAATTTCTTCACTGGAAATGCGGGTGTGGAAACCGAGAAGGTCACACACAGTTTAAATGCTGTCCTGCAGTGCGTTCATTATGTAGTTGGCACTGACTTTCTGGGTGTTTTATTACACGCACACTCTGATGACACAGTTGGGAGTAAAGAAGGCGGAGGAGAGTCTGACAATTATAAAGTGGTTTGTAATTCAGTGAATGAAATAAATAATAAAATGTATGTAGTAGAATCTGACCTAGGAAGTGTAAGTGATACAGATGCTGTTAGCAGGTGAAAAATTCAAATATGTACATGAAGTAAAGAATATGGTTGGAGTTGTGTATTAAAGCAGTGAGTAGGAATGTGATGTGAGCAGTCTGAAATGTGGTTTCTTCTTCAACTGTAAGTTGTAAGATTTGTGTTTATTATACATTGCAACAACTGTTTATTGAATGTTTGAATGGACTTGTAATATTTTGTGATGTGTTGTTCCTGGTATGTAAAATGAAACTATAAGGGGCAGTCAAGTGAAAATGGGTCACCATGCAAAACTCACACAGTGCGCAAGTTGGTAACACTGGAATTTGATTATGGTACAGACATCTAGTTGGGACTTGGGAAAACACAGTGACATTGTGCCCTTGCACACTAGTCATTTGTTTATTGTGCTGGAAGTAAGGTTAGCGCTACGTGTGGTCGTCCAACATCAGTGATGGAGGTGGGTAAAGAAGAACAGCGAAGTGTAGTGCACTTTTTGCCTGTTGAAGAAGTAGGAGGATGAGAAATTCATCGTCGCATATCTGTTGTTTATGGCGAACATAGCATGTTACATTCGCATGTGCTGGTGTGGCATAAGATATTCTGAGAGGGACGTGTGTGACTACAAGATGATGCTCACCCAGGACAGGCTCATTGTGTCATCACTCCTGATATTATTGCTGTGTTGGATGGTTATATCGAGGCAAACCGACGGATCACTGTGGAAGAAATTAGTCTTTTGATGGGAATAAGTCACGGTTCCATACACGCCATTATGACAAAACACCTGCTGTACCGCAAAAAATATATGCAGTGGATTCCACATCAACTCACGGAGGAACAGAAGACTCAGAGAATGGTTGCATCACTGGGTCACTTGCAACAATACCATGAGGAAGAGTATGCTTTTCTGTCCCGTATTGCTACTGGGGACGAAACTTCGTGCCATCATTTTGAACCCGAGAGCAAACGGCAGAGCCAGTGGTGGAAACATGTGAATTCTTAGTTACTATAGGATTCTGACGATGGTGTATAACACACTGATATATTGGGTTTCTGGACTATAGGACTAGTTTCTGGACTAGGACGATGGATATAGTCCAGAAACCCAATATATCAGTATGTGAATTCTTCCCCACCGAAGAAATCCAAAGCTGTACACACAAGTTCCAGTAAAGTGATGATGACGTTCTTCGATTGCAAGGGCCCTCTGCATGTCGAATTTCTCGAACATGGGGCTACAGTCAGTGCACAACACTATGAAGACACTTTGCAGACACTGGGAAGTGCCGTAAAGTCAAAACGCCCTGGAATGCTATTGAATGGCATTATCCTTCATGATAATGCACGCCCTCACACTGTCAACTCTGTGAGGAATATGCTACAGAGATTTGGTTGGGAAGTGCTTCAACATCCCCCCTACAGCCCAGATCTCTCCCCATGTGATTTTCACATTTTTGGAGACGTAAAGAGAGACATTCGTGGACATCAGTTTGCATCGGACGAAGACACGTGTGGCTGGGTAAAAATGTGGTTCCATAGACAGCCCACAAGCTTTTTCAAGGATGGGATTGACCGTCTTATCTTCCACTGGGATAAATGTATTAACAGTTTTGGAGATTACTTTTGAGTTAAGAGATGTTCTTTAATATGTTTTGGCTTCTGACCTGTTTTCATTTGACTGCCCCTCATAGTATGAGGAGTGTTCCGTATATAATACCTCCTATTTTTTTAAATGAAAACTACAACAGATACAGAAAGCATAATAATGCAGTTACATAGAGCAAGATTTCAGCTACTTACAGTTATTTTTCCACATAGTCACCACCATTCGTTATGCACTTTTGCCAGCGATGAGCAAGAGCCTGTATGCTGCGCCCGTAAAAGTCTGCGCCAGCAGAGGCTAGCCACTTTCTTACAGCTGCAGTGACAGCATTGTTGTCTGGAAAATGTTGTCCACGTAGTCCATCTTTCTTAGGCCAAAGAGATGGAAGTCTGAAGGTGCTAAATCGGGGCTGTAAGGTGGATGTGGTAGGACAGTCCAGCCAAACTTTTCAATGTGCGCGGTGGTCGCCAAACTGGTATGGGGTCTAGTGTTATCGTGTTGCAAGTGAAAGGTTGTCTGCTTCTCTGGCCTGACTCAGGAAATGCGGGCTTTCAGCTTAGCATTGTCTTGTAGTGTTCAGAATTGACAGCCTCACCAGGCTCCAGGAAATCCAAGAAAGTCACACCCCGCCTCTCCCAAAAGACTGTGTACATCACTTTTCCTGCCGATGCCTGTGTCTTGAACTTTTTTTCTTGGGCAATCTGGATGTTGCCACTCCATGGACTGTCTTTTGGATTCCAGCTCTTAGTGGTGACACCACGGTGAAGATGCTGCCCAGAAACTTATCACCTTCAGCCTCAAATTGGTGCAACAGGTCCTGACAGACTTCCATTCGATGAGTTTTGTGGTCCTGTTTAAGCATCTGTGTTACCCACCTGGAACAACCTTTGCAATAATCCTGCTTCCCCAACATTGTTTACAATGCATTACAGCCGATATTAATCCATGCACACAGTTCCCTGGTTGTTATCTGCCGATCTGTATGGATGAGCTGATCGAGGTGCTATTCATTGTGAGGAGTGGCAGCTGAGCAGGGACGCCCAGGGCGTTGCTTGTCATGCACTTCACTTTTGCCACTTGAAACGCACTACCCACCGCCTCACTTGCTGACATCCGCTATATCGTCTCTGTACACCTTTAGCAAGTGTCGATGGATGTCAGTGGGTGCAATTTGTTTGGCAGTGAGAAATTCAGTAACACATTTCTGTTTCGTATGCACTTCTATGTCAGACACCATTCTGGTAGACTGCTCTGCTCTTGCTATCTGTCGCACGACAACCAAACTAACAGCACATTGGCGGGAAGGTTCAGCCTTTACTACAACACCAACATCCAGCTCAGATGTTATATATTAACACAAAAATAGGAGGCATTATATATGGAATGCCCTTTGTAATTTGTGATGTCATACCACAGTACATGAAGCATCTTGAGACTTTTTGTCTTCTGCCTTTCCTCTGAAAAGGGGATGGATATGGGATGCGCCAGTTGAATGATGTGATAGCTAAAATGTCTGTTAATATTTCAGAATTCTACCTGTTGCATATTTAATGGTGCTGTGAATAGTGCATATTACAGCATAAAATAATTTTGATGATAGTGAATAATAAGCTGCATAGGCTGTGGAAGGTTGGGTGGAAAATAATGGATGTGGGTGGTGGGGATTTATTTTGGCTGTCAGCCTTGCACTGACCCCACATTTCCCACTTTCCATTTCTCAGCACCAGTATCAAACTGACAATGCAAAGATTCTGTAGGCCGAACGAACAGACCTGTATAGAGGAATAAGGAATAAGAGGAGTTAACAATCTAGAAGTAACTTAGTGAAGGATGAGAATGGTGATCTGCTTGACGATTCCCACAACATTTTGAGTAGGTGGACGAATTGCCTCTCTCAGTTGTTCAGTCTACAAGGTGGTTCAAATATGACCGGGACTGATTTTTTTTTTTAAAACCATAATTGCCAAACACTTACATGCACATGTCAGTCTTCAATGTATTCCCTTCCAGATTCAACCCCTTTTTTCTAGCCTTCTGGAAGCATCCTGATGCCCTTTTCAAAAAAGGCTTGTGGTTGGTGTATCCACTCCCGAACAGTCATTTTCCACAAACCGCATGCCTTGCAAGTCTGATTTTGACCTTCCGAACACGTAGAAATCACATGGGGCCAAATCGGGACTGTATGGCGGATGTTTCAGAAGGTTCCATTTCAATTTCCAGATGGTTTCCATTGTTTTGGCTGTATGGGGGCGTGCATTGTCTTGAAGGAAGGCCACCCCCTTGGATTGGATCTTTTCCTTCACATCTGTTGCCAGGAGGTCTGAGTAATAAGCTGCATTGACTGTTCTGGCATCTGTCAGAAAGTCCACATGGATAACCCCCTGCCAGTCCCAGAAGAATGTTGCCATCACTTTTCCTGCTGAATGGCTCCTCCGCGCTCTCTTGGGTTTGGGAGAACTGGTATGCCACCACTCGCGTGATGACTGCTGGGACTCAGGAATGAAGTAGTGTACCCACGTTTCATCGGTGGTCACTGTAGACTTCAAAAATGCATCACCTTCATCTTCAAACTACTGTAGGAGACTACTGGCAGCTTGGATGCGCACCATTTTGTTCACGTCCGTCAAAGTGCGTAGTACCCACCGTGCATTCACCTTGCGATAGTGCAGGTGGTATTTCACAATGTCTTCTACACTATCAACACTGATGGACAGCATTGCTCCAAGTTCCTTGATAGTGATGCGCCTATTCTCATGAATAAGCACGTCTGCACGATCAGTGTTTGGCTCGGTGACATGTTCGTGGCCGACGATCATGTGGTTCATTCTCTCAGCCCTCTCTGAAGCACTTACACCACTCAAACACACGGGTCCGTGAGAGACACTCATCCCCATACTGTTGTTGGAGTCTGTGCTGAATTTCAGCAGATGGGACGTTTTCTCCAACAAGGAATTTGATCACAATGCGTTGTTCCACGCTCCGCGGTACATTCTGTTCGGTTATTACTCAAGCAATTTCCAGACAGGACTGAACAGGTTCTAACCCAAAAAGGAGGGAGGGTGGAGGTTGTGGCTTCACTCTTTCAAGGTCGCACAGCTGCTGCGCAGTGCGACTTGTTTACACACACAGTTCCGGTCATATTTGAACCACCTTGTACATACAGGTAAGCCATTAGTGCCTAGTCATAGTTCTTTTGTGGTTGAAATTGCTGTTGCAAGTCAAAAGGATATGAATCACCAGGTAATAATCAAATTCTGGCATAACTGATTCAAGCAGGAGGGGAAACATTACAATCTGAGATCTCTAAACTCGTTAATTCTATTTGGAATAAGGAAGGATTTTCTGATCTGATCAGTATTATTGTACCAGTTCACAAGAAGGGATCATATGAAATCATCGAGGATCATCAGTATGGGTTTCGATGTAACAGATCAATTACTGATCAGATCTTTTGAATTCATCAGATACTGGAGAGAAAATGGGAGTACAGTGAGACAGTACGTCAGCTATTTGTAGACATCAAGAAAGCCTGTGGTTCGGTTTTTGGTAATGGGGGATAGGAGGAATGCATATAGGATATTGGTGGGAAATCTGGAAGGAAGGAGACAAGTGGAAAGACCAAGACACAGGTGGGCGAACAAAATTAGAATGGATCTTAGATAGGATGGGTTGGTTGGATTGATCTGGCTCAGGATAGGGATCAGTGGAAGGCTCTTGTGAAGATGGTAATGAACTTTTTGGTTCCATAAACTGCTGGGAAGTTCTTGAGTAGCTGCACAATTGGCAACTTCTCAAGAAGGCTCAGTTCACATACTTGGGGGGGGGGAACCGTGATTTTAATCTGCAAGCGAACTATACCGACCGAGTGATCGCCGCTTGTCGGCAAAGTTTAGTGCCAACTTTTGTGGATAGAGGGTGTCATGTGGTCAGTGCAACAAATTCCCATGGCCGTTAATTTCAGTTTTCTAGACCGGAGCCGCTATTTTCTTGAAATAGCTCCACAATTATCATCACGAGGCTGAGTAGACCACTTTCCAGACCCACTTCTTCTCAGAAAAAATCTGGTAGTGCCGGGAATCGAACCTGGAATGACAGTCAAAATTTGGTTAATGAGGACATTAAAGAGCTAATGGAATTTGACTAGTGCTTGCTATCATTTTAGACTACAAAAAATTATAATTTTGTCTGTAGCGTGAAATGTAGTCTCTGACATTAAGGGAGCAACTTAGACTGAGGGTGTTTGAGAACGGGGTACTGAGGAGAATACTCATGAGGATAATTGAGGAGCTATTTCAAGGAAATAGCGCCTCCAGTCTAGAAAACAGAGATTAATGGCTGTGGGGATCCATTGCACTGACCACGTGACACCCTCTATCTGCAAAAGTTGGCATTAACTTTGCTGACAAGTGGCGGTCGCTAGTTCGCTTGCATACTACAGGCCATGGATTTTTTTTTTGTGCTGGGGAGAATATTTGGACTGCAGAGAGATGGAAGTGATGGGAGGTTGGAGAAAACTGCATAATGCCAATCTTCATAACTTGTGCTCTTTGCTGAGTATAATTACAATGATGAAGTTGAGAATGAGATGGGCAGGGCATGTAGCATGAACGGGGACGAAGAGAAATGCAAATAGGGTATTGGTGGGAAAGCCAGAAGAAAGATGCCACTAGGAAGACCAGTACATAAGTGGGTGGATAATAAAATGAATTTTAGAGACCGGATTGATCTGACTCAGGATAGGGACCAGTGAAGGGCGCTTGTGAACATGGTAATGAACCTTTGGTTTCCATAAAATGCTGGGAAGTTCTTGAGGAGCTGTACAACTTCTCAGGAAAGAGTCAGCCCCATGACATTAGTTATTTACAGGTGAGAGTGGAGGGGAGGTTGCTGCTAGGCAGATCTGTAAGAGAGAATCTGCTTAATTGGGGAGTCCATAGAACTCAACATGTTACATTTTTACCATTCTTTCCTTATGACATCAATTGTATGGGGTCTAAATCAGTTTAATGCCCAAATATCTGATTGTGGTATTGCAAAGATATGTGAGTAGTAGTTTTAGAATTATGCATATAATAGAGCTTGGATATCGACTTTTTGTTGTAAACTTGGAATGAAGTCTTGTGTAAGGACCACAGCATGCACTGAGAAGATGCTGTCTGGGGTGTGACATGTATGGTCTGGTAGATAAATACCAACGTTTATGATGAATGTGCTGGCTCCATTTTGAGGGCAGAGGAGTAATCCAAGCATGGAAGAAAAAATGTACAAATAATGGAGGTGGAGATATGACCAGGACCAAACGTTGGTATCAACCAGACTGTAGGTGTTTTATCTGAGAATATAGTAATCTAATCCTGTGCAAAATAAGGATGGACTTCATATGTTAACTCTAATGTATGCATGCTGAATCAGTTGAGGGAGTTATATAGCAAGGGCTACAGACTGGATGACCAAGCTTAAATTTCTGACAGGGATGAGATTTTTCTTTACTTCACTGCATCCAAACCAGTTCTAAGGCTCACCAAGCCTATCCAGTGGATATTGTGGGATTTAATGCTGAAGTGGCCAGGGTATGAAGTTTGCAACATGTTTTCTAATTGCTGAGGTCAGGAATGGTGGAGCTGTCCCTCTACTGCCTGAAAGGTCTTCATGGCATGGTCCTGAATTAAGAATGGGAATAACAACCTTTTTGTTGATTCAGTTCTGGTGATATACGCAGTAGTTCAAAGTCAACGTCTCATATTAATGGGAATGTTTGGATTTATACCTGACAGTCAGTTTGTAGAGTGGTATCAGCATCGTAAGGTACACATTGAAGCTAGATCTCATTTTGAACAATTTTTGTAAATTCAGTAAAAAATTTTGAATGTATTCTAGTGTACATTTTACTAATCAGTTAAATGGCTTTTGGGATACACTGTGCGTGATAGGTATCTGATGGAACAGTTCTGTTTGTAACAGTAACCAACCAAACTCCCACTGGGCCCATAGCCAAGTGTCATTCTAGCATGTCAGGCTGGTTGGCAGAAAGATTTTTTTATGTTGTGCCCCCTTTGGCTTTACCTTCCCCCTGCACCTCCAACTTTTGGGCTAGTTGACTGATGTGTTCACAATGTTTGGTAGAATGTTATACTAATGGAGGTCATTTTCACTCCTGGTCTTCAGTTATAAAATCATGGCAGACAGGTGGCGCTGACAAATGCTTTTTGGCTTGCAGTTTGATAGCAATGACTAATGCAACATTGGAGCTGGGACTGGAAATTTTTGTTTGAAGATAACCATAAACATCTTATACAAATTATGTATTAAGTATTTATGAGTCAAGCGTTATAGACATTGTATAAATGTAACAGGATCTATATACAAGTTTTCCCAACCGAAAATACCGATCATGCAGTATGTAGCATACTATTTGTAAAAGCCAGGTTCTAACCGCAGTGAGTGGCAGTGAGTATGAGGTTACTGTCATCTAGGGCGTGATGTTCTATAGTCTGGTAGATAGTGGTGTTAGAAAGGACCTTGTCAGGAGGAATGCTACAGGTTTTTCTGAAAGGGCACTTCTTCAGCAAATTGTAACAGTATCACATCTGAAAAGTGTATACTCTTCAAATTTAGAGTGCAAGCATTTGAAAATTCTGGTTTTGGTTCTGCGAAATTTTGTTTTATTGGATTTATAGGCTTGCATTAAATAAGTTTTGTTAGTATAATACAGAATTCTCCATTTTTAGTGGTTGTATATGAGGCCCATCTCAGAAAACTGGTAAGTTGTGAGATAGTTTAAGGTGTGTCATTGGGCAGGATATATACAGGGGCAAAAGATTTTACGTACCAAAATATATAAAGAAGACATCTTTAATTATTATAGGCATTGGTATAAATGGTGTTATAAAGCCCGTCCATTAAAGTGGTAGCACCCTCAGTGGGCACGAATGACTCAGAATAACTGTAGTTAGGATCCATGTTTCACAAAAGGTTACCTTTTATGCACTAGTGAATAGAGCGTGTAGAGCGGTGTAGAGGGCCTACATTTTCGTAGTACTTGATACTAATATGCATTCACAATTTTATCTTCCATTTCAAATGGGCAATGTTTATGTAGCGACCGAGGAGTCTTATGTTTGAACATCCGCATAGTGGAAAGAATAAAATGTAGTATAGTAGTACTGACATGTGTGATAGAGGTTTTGTATAATTTCGCTGAAATATTGCACAAAGTGAAGAAAATAAAACACTGATAAAAGCCAAAATCGTGTTGCATTAGTACGCAGGCTGTAACAAAAATAGGTTAAACACGTCACTTCAGTATTCATAACGTGATAAATAAGTCTCATTTTAAATGCGCTCTTCTCAAAATATAATATTACGAATTCCTCGAAGTGTTAGCAAAGGATTATTTTCAGATCGACATGGAATACAATATAGTAGCACTTCGAAGCCGCGTTTAACGGCGGAATACTGCTTGGACTTGGTTAGGTAAGTTAAAATAACGGTATGTAGTTCATCATGAAAGTTTATTCAACCGCATGTTAGGTTAGTTTTTAATGTAGTAAGATGGTATGTATTTGCAACACGATCAGCAGGTGTGTCAATTAAAACACAGGGGCTTGTATTATTAGGGTTAGGAATAATTTTTTTTTACTTATAACCAAACCCATATTCAAGGATGTTGAGCATGATCACCGTACTGTAAAGTTCCAGGGCAATAAATGTGGAGGGGGTTTATGACTGGCCACATAAACTTATTCTGGAATGACTACGTTAAATTAACTAATTCCATGAAGCTGAGTCCTTGAGAAGCTCCCACTTGTGCAGTTGCTCAACTTCCCAGCATTTTACGGAACCCAGATATTCATTACCATGTTCCAAGAGCACTCCACTGGTCCCTATCCTGACAGATCAATCCAGTCTGCAAGATCATTGTAATATTATCCACCCACTAATATCTTAGTCTTCCTAGTGGTCTCTCTCCCACCAGTATCCTAGCTTGGTCCTATTCATGCTACATACCCTTCCCACCTCATCTTCCTTGACTTGATTATTGTAATTATACTAGGAAAAGAGTAAAAGTTATGAAGCGCTTCATTATGCAGTTTTCTGAAAAATCCTGGCACATCATCTCTCTCTGGTTCAAATATTCTCCTTAGCATCCTGTTCATAAATACCGTCAGTCCATCTTTGTTCCATTCTGTTGGAGACCAAGTTTAATCTCACACAAAATTACAGGCAAAGGAAGGTTGCGGGTTCAAGTCCTGATGAAGTCATTGGAATTTTTTTCAATTGACCTAATCCTTCCAGGCACACTATGGCCCCAGGGTTGACTCAGCCTCTGGCAGGAATGAGTATCATGAATTAATTAAATAATTTTCCTCGGGAGTAAAGCGCGGCTGGTGCGTAAGACTGACCACCTTACCGCCATCTGTGAGCCGATTGTTTAGATAATGTGGGACCCTCAGCGTCTCACAACCCTGTGGGCCTTGACAGCCTCTTAAGGGATAGCTTTACTTTTACATTTTTAGACAGCAGATGAGAAGACAGAAGTTTCTGTACTGAATGGTAGAAAGCATTACTCAAATTCCATCTACTCTTTAAGTTTCTTCATGAACCAAATTTTGATTTGCTACTGTCATTCCCAAATGTTTGAACTGTGCCATATTCCCAAAGGGTCTATTAACTATCTTTATGTTATGATTTTGCCCTGCAGTCTGGTGATGGGATGACAACTTATACTTCAGTTTTCTCTGTGTTTACTAAGACTTTTCTGAATAGGAAACTTACCAGACAAGTGTTTACCTATCCAGACTTTATATTATAGGTTTCATTTAAACATAAATTAGTTTCATGAATATCTCATACTCAAATGAGAATAATGCATAACACTTCCCTCTTAATTGAATGATATGATTTCTTGAAATCTTATGAATAGATGATGCACTGCCTCCTAGTACTCCCATTTCTTTCTCCAGTATATGATGAATGCAAAGAAATCTGATCTGTATTTGACCTCATATGTCAAAACCCACACTGATGATCCGCAGTAATTTTGTCTATGTTTGTCCTGAACCTTGAGAGGGGGATGTTGGATAAGATTCTGTATGAAAATGATAACAGTGATATGCTTTGGTAATTACTACAGTCGTTTTTATCGCACCTCATGTAAACTGATACAGTAATAGACTCCTTCCACTGAACAGGCAAGTCTTCATTATTCCAAATAGAATTAGTAAGTTTATGGGTCTCAGAGTGTAATGTTTCTCCTCCTGCTTGAATCATTTCTGCAGGAATTTGATGGTGAGTTATACTTCTTAAATTTTACAATAGGAATTTCAGCCTCAGAAGAATCAGGTGATAAAAAGATGTGTCCTTTTACCACTGGTTCAGTTTAAGTGGGCAAATACAGTACAGCCTGCATGTTGCTATATTTCATTAGAGTTGTGTGGACAGACGGTACTTGCAGCAGAATTTAGATCACTTCATACGGGCTAGAAGGTTGTGGGGGACCAGACTCTCAACAGTCCCTCATTATCTGGTGTGGCCACTAATCATGAATTGATTTCAATTTCAAATTGCCCAGTAGGTAGCAGATATTCTCTGAATTCAGATCTGGTTGATGTGTTGACTGTCCCACAGTTCTTCATTATCCAGGCCCCAGGGTCTCATTGTTATGTTTGATTCTTTTGACAATAAAAATTGGATGAAATATGTGTCAATTTAGTACCAAAATGGTTCCGTCTGTATACTGTGCTGAATAGAGATATTGAGATTTTTTCCCTGAATGAAAATATTTAATTAAGATTCACTCTGAACATTAGATGAGGTAACATTTATTGAATGTGTTACAAGGAACTCAGAATAAAATAATTTATATTTTGGAAAATTACATAGTAGCATTATATGCTCCAAAATATGACATGCTCACCTTGCATAAATAACTGATTGTTTTTGTGATACTGTTTCAATTAAAATTTTCAACATTGATGATACTGTACTGGTGCTGAGTGGGGGAGTGCAAGCTGAATGGCAGTTACATTTCAGGGAACTTCTTCGCGGTGTAATATTGCTTTTCCATCTTGAGTGTTGTCATGTGAGAACTGTGTGTAAGCAACAGAAATTATTGAATGGAGAAATTACAGCAACATGAAAAACGTACAGATTTTTGATGAGGAACCTCTTTGGAAGTACCTACTTGGAGTACCAATAGAGAGATTGTGGATGGTATTAAGTTGGTTCTCGGTGAAATATGGTGCAAGGGTCCAAACTCAAGCATAGTGGATATTGGTGTCAGTGTTACTGAACTTTTGGCTGTTATTTCCCCAGTCAGATTACCATTTTCCTTGAAAGTCTGTGACCTGTATTTTGAAACAGAAAATTGACAATCCTTTGGAAGAACTAAGAAACCATCACATAATTTTAGTGGGGAATATCTTTGGAAAGTGACTATTTGGAAGACCAAGGTATAGACTGAAGTATATATTAAACTTGAGCACAGGGAAGTAAGTAGTTCTTGTCTAAAAACATGTTTGTCAGTACTCTGAAGCTTGGTTTTAGCCACAAGGCCAAAACATACAGTACCACTGCAGATGTGTGGCTTTTAGCAAGTTTGCCAGCACTCATCTGTTGTTTGCTGGTATTGTATGTGTACCAGATGAGAAGGGCACTGGAAATGAGGTATGGTCATGTTGGCTGGATTGAACTGGCACAAGGTTAGGTTCTGACACCCAAGATTTAATTTAATTTTTATTAATTTAAGGAAAAGTCTGTGTGAAATGTTATGTTTATTTCTGTTACAGGCAGCATGACTATGAAAACTTTTTGTGCACCCTGTTGCTACCAAGCCAGAGTCGAACATCAGCTTTTGCTATCAGAGCATTTAATATTGAGATAGCAAAAGTTCAAGATCAAGTTAGTGATCCTCATCTTGGAAGAATGAGAATGAAATTCTGGGAGGAAAGTGTGGAGAAAATGTATGTTGAAGATACTCCCAATCATCCTGTAGCCATAGAACTTCATCGTGTAAGTACGTGCAGTAAGACTTGCCACTAAGACACAGATAATTATCCTCAAGTGTGTCAGTTTTCTGGATTCTAGTAATATATAAATAACACAACATGCAGTCTGTGGTGTGAAATGGTTTTGAACAGTATGAAGAAATGTGGGAGAATTTGCATTTGCTAATAATCTCTGGTTGTCAAACATCATTTTCTCTATTGATCGTATCATGTACTGAGTGTCCACTTTGCCCATTCACACAGCCTACACATAACTATATAGTAACCTATATCAAACTAAGAAGCAATCAGTGTTGCCAATGTAGTACAGAAGAAGCCAGAGTAGTTAGTGAAAATCACACAAGAACTGCCATTTTCAGGTAGGGTTTGGTAAGTTTAATGTAGTATTTATTTGTTTTTTAAATGCTGTCAGCATATAGCATCAAATGTCAAGATGATTAGCGAATAATGAGATGGAAGGGATGTGGAAGGAAGTGATATCCTAAATTGAAGCTCTGTTCTTGAATGTACCTGACAGAAACCTGTCTAGATAGCCACCCATTAACTTTCACCTTTCATATTTGTACAATTGAATGACAATACACTCATTACGATTAAAGAAGTGGGAGTCCGTTATCAGTTCTGTGCTAGTCTGTGAATTTCTGCTGTTTCCTTCAATATATCTTTCTCTGATTAGAAATTTTTAAGCACATCTCAAAGACATGGCACAACTAAAGCTTTGACCATCCTTCTTCCTAGCACATATTTCGTAAGTAAGATTGTTGTCTTCTTGTTGTCACACTATGTAGTCTTGTAGATGCAGCATGTCCCTTCAGAACTCTGTATCTGTCCATAAGGCTGAATTATATTATAGCCCAGAAGACTGCGGTATTTTCAATCACCGCAGTGAAAACTTCAAAACTGTCCTCAATAAAAAATGGTAAGAGAGTGCAATTTCCTGGGACAGTGCAGTGTGGCAGACAGGTACTGGGATTTTGGAGGAACATACTGCCTTCATTTATCCACTTCTATCCTGAAGATGGAAGTAGTGTGTTTGTGCAAAGTGTTGATAACCATCTACCAGACTAGGCAGTGTCACACGTCAATGAAGACTGCAGACTTAATGCAGAAAATGAGAAGGTGGCCCAGATGTTGTGCCTGAAGAATGATTGAATTTGAATACTAGACAGATATACACACACATACTGCATAGTGCGCTGAATAGTTTACAGACAGTGCAACAGTGGTGCCACTTAATGCTGTGTTCGGTTAAGAAACAATATTGCAATTAAGCTCTGCCTTAATGCTGAAGGTCTGTTATAGTTCTGATGTATGCTGCTCATGTTCATTACAGGCAACCAAAAGACACAAGCTTTCCAAGAGATATCTGAAGCGTCTCATATCAGCACGAGCAGGTCGGTTAACGTCTGCAGCATTTCCTGATATGGAAGCAGTGGAGCATTATGCAGAGCTGTCTGTGTCATCTGTCTACTATCTCTTGCTGGAAGCATCTGGTCAGGACATGCATCATTCTTGAACGATTGTTTTGAGTTGAGGTTATTTACTTAATCTCCATTATGTCTGCCTTAAAAGATTATACTGAGTCCACTAAAAGAAGAACCATGAATCACCCTCCTCCACATCTTCCAGCATACTTCACTGCACTTAACAAGATTCCCCGTTCACATGGATGTTGATAATTATAGCCACACGTTCAACTTCTTTAGCAAGAAGCACTGTGGGTTGGTTGACATAGACCTCTGAGGGCCCAAGGGGAATACAGAAGTAGGCAGAATGTGGTATGTCATTATCCCCACCATACATGGAACTTTTTTGTTATTGATGTACAAAATTTCAGGTGAGGTTTTGACATGACAGGTTGAGTGGCTTCCTTGTTGGTGTACCAGAGATATATTTCACTCCATTTTCAGTATTAGCATTTTTTCCCCTAATGTATCTATTTTACCAATGAATTCTGAACAAATTGACTGGTTGTCATAGAAATCTGTGTGAACATGATATCAGTGGAGACATCCCATGTTTGTGTTTCCTCTCATGATCAAAACAAACACCAAACCTGTGCAAACATGTAACAAGGGGATTAAAGTAAGTATTATTATCATGCAGTGTAAGTTCTGAAATACTGTTGGGAATATGATTTTGAAACATATTGTCATGTGTTAGACTGACTCTTGACAGGGTTTTATACATGCAACTCATGACTGTGCTTCACAGATCAGTGTCACACACAGACTAGTGTCATCAGTTTATTACAGTTTCCACTAGCCATTGCCTGGTAACAGCTTCCAATGGCAGATCTTCCCCTTACTGTGGGTTCCCAAACTATCCCTGTGTCTCAGCTACTAACTTCTAACAGCAACAGCTCATGATGGCTGAACTGTAGTTCTCCAACTAACTCCCAGGCTGACAGTCATCTCACAGCAACCTCCTAGTCTTTTCTTCACACACTGACTAATAACTGAGCACTCTTGCAACTGACTGGTTGCCCCAAATTGTCCTGGTTATAACATCTTGGCACAGACCATGTAGAAAACACTGTTCCCCTGTAGCTGTACCATTGTTGTGTTTGTGTCTGTTGGGGTTCCCACATGATTGCTACTCAGTCAGTCCATTGGCACGCTGGTGCCTGCCTAGCAACAGCCGTTTGTCCCATTTGTTTCGTGTCCATTTTCTAGAAATGAATGTTGTCTCAGAGCTGTTTCCTAGCAATGGCTGTTTCTCTGGCTCCACAGTTCTCGCTTTGAGCAAATATGCCACGGTATACATGACACATCTTGACGAGATATGGTGGCAGAATCACGCTTATAATAAGGTGTCTTTAGTGCGGAATTCTTCTTTAAATTTTTCAGTTTCATTTTAATGCTATTTATAAGATATGACATGCAAAATTTTGAGTAATACTTGTCTTTTGCAAAAAACACAGACACAGAAGTAACGCTAGTACCTCACATGATTAGGACCACACTCTGCACTGGAATGGGTGGCATTTCTGCTTTATATTTGAGAAGAAGCTTAGTGTGGTGACCAGCTGTCCAGACTAAAGTTTCTTGTGGTCCTTGGTACCTCCAGGCAGAACTGGGGGACACTACATCAAATTCAGCCATGAATGCTTCCTTCCACACCCTTTCAAATTCACCATTCATTAATCATTTTATGCTATGTATATAGCCTGAGTTTCTGACAGTGTCACAATAATCCATGACATAAATGCACTGTGGGGATTGCACAGGACACTTGCATCACTGAATGAATGAACACTTTAACCTGGCATTGGTGAGGTGGGAATATGTAACAAAAGCGGTAACATCCTGTTGATTATATCAACCCCACCTTTGATTTAGTTGTAAAACAGAATATTTTCCAGCTTAGATGTTCTCTCATCTACATTATAATGTAATGTGGAAATCATGACAACATTTTTGTTTATTTGGCACAAATAAGCTATGGTGATGTTGTGTTGAGATCCAAAAATGGTAGTCATTGGGGTTTTTTTGCTTGGTATTGATGAACTCAGGTGACAGTTCTCTTATTTTTCTTGATTGTTCCCACCATAGTTAGCTTATGATCTTCTAAGAAGGATTTGGCCAATGGGTAACTTGTGAACCAATTATCTAAACTCACATTGCGACTTGTTCCAGATATAGGTGCAGTCTTCTTTGTAACAAATTCAGAAAGTATGATTGAAACCTTGTATGGGCCTTCAGGTTGTGCATCAATGTAAACTTCCAATTTAGAAGTATAAAAGGACTTGGCATCAACCAAAGCAAATATTTTCAGACCATACTTTGCCGGTTTGCTTCGAATGTACTGCTGGAAACTGCATCATCCACAAAATGCTTCTAACTAAAAATTTCTCTAATTGGAGCCAATTTGCCATAAGATTTTTGTTCAGTTCTATTACTTCGGTCGTCAAATCATAGACATCTAGGAAGAAAACGGAAGTGAACAAGTGACACTGTGCTTCCAAATGATTCAGCACCGGTACCGTCCATGGCCCATAGATTATCAAGATTCTGGTGACTAGACTTATAAAAACCAGATAAATATACAAGTCCAAACACAGCCTTTATTTCACTCATATCAGTCTTTTGAAAACTATTATTTTTGGCGTAATTTACTTACTTTCTTTCTACTTCATCGTTTGTATTCTTCAAAATTAGGTCTATCATGTCATCAGGAAAAAAATATCTTCCAGCAATCTAAAACTGATCTTGAATCTTTTACATTGCCTGGCTAACTATGTTATGTGCTCGAGTTCTTATTCGAGATCCTAACTTGTTTTTACTCCATCTTGTTTGCTTATCCTTCATCAAGCAAAAGGCTCCCTCTGTAGATTCTTCCTCACAGTCTTGTTCTGTATCAGATTCATGGTTATCATCATCCCCGCTAAATGGCTTCTCATCTGTCAAAGCATCATCTATAAGCTGACGTAACCTCTGTTCTTCCTTCTCATAACTCGCCTGGTAAAAAAAAATCTCAAAATGCCCTCTAAATATTTACGAACATTTATGTATGTAAAAATAACGCAATAACGATAATATTTTAGTAGGATACAAATGAAAACAACAAGTGTCGGAAGCAAATATAGTCACACTTTCAGTAAGGTGGGTTCTGGTGGACCCCAGCACACTTTACACGTCTGCACACTAAACTTGCTTGGGTGCAACAGCCTGTTGTCTAAGGCACTGGGTAGCGGGTTACGGGAGGGGAAGTTACACTGAGGCACGACTCACTACCATGCATTCTTAAAAAGTTAATCATTGGGGTCTGTGAAACCCCACCTTACTAATGCCAGATTAAGCACCAAAACATTTATGAAGTGAGTCATGCTAGCTCAGTTGGTATAATGACTAGGCTACAGGCTGAATGACTGAGGAGTCTGGATCTCATTCCCATCTGGGGTCAGGGATTACTCTTTTTTTCTGGTGTCTGAATTGGCTCTGAGGTCTGTCCAGCCTCGTGTCCAGTAGGGAACAAGGGTTTCTCCCCAGAGACTAAAGCAGCCTGCAGTGACAATGACCACATTCCTCCATCTAATGCTATGGTTGAGTGGGTGAACCTGTACTTCACCTTCTCCATACACCTTTATGGTGTGGAGTTCAAGTTCTTCATCTTTACAAATTTATTAATGAAATACATGCTTCCAAATTTCTGCTCTTTATTTAAACACGAAGCAGTTGGGTTTGTATGAACAATTTAGTGTTATTTTAGGCTAAACAGAATTTATCAAATTCTCCTAATTTTGACGCACTGCTCAACGTTGACATTATATGTTCCCGAAATTGACATTCATAAATAACACTGGAGGGGCATATATTTAAGCTGCCTGCCAAACATTATCGTCCCCCAGCATGTTTATTTTGGAACTAAGGGAGCTGAAATATGTTTGATGTAAATGTTGGCAGGTATAGAGAATATTCACGCTGATCACACAGCCAGCCATCTTGGAAAGGCCCATGGTATTGTGAATCTGATCCGTTCTGTACCATACCATGCCCAACAGAAGGTAGTGGCCTTGCCTCAAGATGTGTTACTGCAACATAATGTACCTCATGAGATGGTGTTACGTACTAGCTGCACAGCAGGTTTGAAGGAGGCTGTGTTCGACATTGCAGCTCGAGCCAAGCAGCATCTCGATAAGGTAAGTTGGAGCAACTGACATGGGAATGGATCATAACATTTCAGGACTGATTATGCCTTATCTGACTCAGCATTACTGTCCTCTTGATTTGAATTTATTTGGTGTCTAAGAAACAGATAAAGGAAAATATGTTAATGTCTCAAACAGTTTAAACTGTGATTATTATTAATGACTTTTCACCAACAGAGATTATGTATTAATTTGAACAGTAAATAAAATCCAGCATGAACGTTTTAAACATGACACTATAGGTCTGCTATTTGTGATGTTCTTTCAGGATATTAAGACCTTGCTTTAGTGCAATGAATTATTTTACCATTCTAGTGTAATAGAATATTTACTCATAAAGAATTTTTTACAGAAATGCCTGTTAAACTTGTATCATATTCAATTTCTTTAATAGGCAAGGTCTTTAAGTAACAGCTTGCCCAAGTCGGCGTATCCACTTTTTCTGCCAGCAGTAGCTATTGACTCTTACTTGGAGAGACTCCGTCTAAAAGGCTTCGACATTTTCGATACTACATTACAGAAGAGAAATAGTTTGTTGCCATTTCTTTTGTTCTGGAATAAACTTGTATCCAAATACTGACACCTGTATATGACGCCTGTACCTAGAGTTTATGTTAATGATGCTCATCAATATGATAATGAATATTTATCTCAATAAATTGTTTATATAAAAATAATATACAAAACTATTAATTTTGTCTGTGGTTCTGTATGGGTGTGAAACTTAGTCTCTGACATTAAGGGAGGAACATAGACTGAGGGTGTTTGTGAACAGGCGTTGAGGTGAATATTTGAACCAAAGAGAGATGAAGTGATGGGATGCTGGAGAAAAGTGCACAATGAGGAGCTTTATAGCTTGTACACTTGGTCGACTTACGACCGACTTCTGTTCTGACTGACAGGTTATAAGTCGATCTGGTCGTATGTCAGCCATATATTTATTGACAGTATTATTTAACCTTTCTGATCTCTTTATCATCTTTATAATTTATTTTTAAAAACTTTTACATTTTAATCATCTTTTATTTTTCATTTTTTTTTGTGGTCATAAGTCGCATAGGTTGTAAGTCGATGACCAAGTGTATTCTTCTCCAAGTATAATTAGAAAGATCAAGTAAAGGGGGATGATATTGACAGGGCATGTAGCACGAATGGGGAGAAGAGGAATGCATGTAGGATATTGGTGGGAAAGCCAAAAGGAAAGAGACGTAGTTGGGTGAACAGTATTAAAATGTATCTTAGAGATAGGATGATAGAGCATGGATTGGATTGATCTGGCTTAGGATAGGGACCAGTGGAGGGCTCTTGTGAACATGGTAATGAACCGTGAGGTTCCATAAAATGCTCAAAAGTTCTTGAGTAGCTGCACAATTGGCGGCTTCTCAAGAAGGATTCAGATCCATGAGTGAAGAAAATGAATACAGAATATCTCTTCTGAAAGTAACTTTATGAGACACAATCTGCTGTACACTGTGAGTGTGGTAGTCAAAGTAGAGAAATATCAGTTAATTTGGAAACAGCATGTACATAATTGGGATGCAAGATAGCACACTGCCAAAATTAACAACATACTTTTATGTTTACCCAAAGAACAGAGACATGGGACGGTCATTTCTAAAATATGTGAATATCAGGGCTTGTACTTTGGGAAGGGAAGATTTAACTCTTAAGTTGTTCTTGTTTTAGAAATGTAGGAGTTGCAGAAAGGTAACATTAATGGAATTTTAGTATGCTTATGTCATATAGGCACAACGAAGTGACAATCCAGTGAATTAATAACAAGTGATATTAAAGACTGAAATCCACACATCCTAAAGGTTCATTACTGTGTTCACATGGGTCCACCACTGATTTAATCTGCTCTGTTTCTTTGTGAATATAATTTTGATTCCTGAAGACAGAACTTCAATGAAAATGAATGTCCTTTTTGTGACTTTGGGCTTGGCCACTCACAACAGGAGTCACAACATATTAATTGAGTCTAGTGATTGAGGAGGGCACTGTAAGGCATGCATGTATGTATGTATGTATGTGTTGCATGCATGTATGCATGGGTTATAACAGTCTTCATTATGGTGTGACACCCACCCTCTCTCCCTGTGCAGATGTAATCACTGTCCCACTACTACTTGCTGCTGTAACCGATCTGCCAACCCCAGCTGGATTTAATTTAGTAGCATGTTTTGATCCAGGTAAATAAACATGTTTGGTTAGGTTTACTTGTAACCTACAGCAAATGGACAAGAGGTACATAGGCTATTTCTTGCCCTCAAGAAGGAGTTTAGTCCATCCAAACTCTTGAATCAAAAAGACAAAAGAAAAATGACTGGTCAACGCAGATGAGAAGTGAAAGCGCTTGCTTCTTTAGAAAGTCACACAAAATTGTACTTGTATGAATCCTTTGAGAATACAATATGTGACAGTTTTGAACCCATAACTTAAAAGATGGGTGGTCTCAGCCCAAGCCAAGCATAACCTTTGTCAAGCTACTGACAGGATTTATATTAAGTTGTAGCACCTGAATTCCCTGTAATACCTAAACGGATAGGGGAAACACGTAATTAGTGTACTCCCATTTTTTGAAAATGACCAATCCTTGCAATTTAGCGAGTTGACTTGTGGACCGAGATGACTCCAAGAGTTTTGAGGAAAAGAGAGTCTGCAAAAAGTCATATTCCAGATCGCAAACTATTCGGACACAGAATCTGCAAAGTCTTATTCCAGATCTCAAACCATTCGGACGCAAAGTCAATCTAGCACGGTAGTGGCGTCCCTTATGGACAACAGTTTAATAAAGTGTCTTGTGGAATAAAGTGTGTGTTATAACAGGAGTTCCCACTTCCCTTCCTGAGTGATACCCTGCCAAACGGCCTGAGAACTGAATCTTAGCTCTACCGGCGGAACTAGTTACCCACGACTGCTACCCCCTTATCAATCCTTCACACCTTTCCTAAATCTGTAAACTGATGGTAGCAGTTTACTGGCACCCAAACTAAACTCATTGCCCTAAAGATCAGAGGTGTGTAAGGATGATAAGTGAAGCAGGGTAAAGCCAGCTGTAGCCGCCACCGCCCGTAGCAGTCCAGCAGCCAGTGGTCGAAGACGACAGTAAAGTAAGTGGACACAAGGAGCGAGCTGTTATAATACGACAATCAACGTGTCAGGGTGGAAGTAGCACTGAGTGGGTAGAGGCCATACGGGAGAACGGTAAGAAATTGGAGCCCAATGCAGAGGCCGCAGAGTGCGACGATTATACTGGATTTCTCTTCACTTCTCCTCATGCACAATTCACAGGCCAGGTTTGAAAAAAACAGCACTTTTCTGTTATATAGATTTCTAGTCCTCCTGTTGTCATTGCTGTTTGACTATTATGTAGGGACAAACTGACACTTAGGGACACTGGAATGGTACAGGTATGTGTTTTATGCCATATTACTTGTCTAATTGTGTTTCATTGTTCCATTTAACTGATAGTATACACACACACAAAAAGGAATCAACATCTATAACAAACATACTGTTTTTGTTTACATGCTGCTATTTCCAAGAACTTTTAAAAGAACATGTCAGTAAGATTTTAGGGCAGCATTCAAATATTGCAATGAGTCTATACTATGAACAGTGTAGTTAATATTTCAAATATATGTACTTATGAGTTACATTGAAACATTACGTACATTGTCTAAACAGATATATTGTAAGTGTGTCTGTGTACTGTGCACCAACAAGTGGTTGTCTCTTTATACAACGACATCCCACAGAATCTTTAAAGGTGATCAGCTGCAGTTCAGTTCAGAGAAGAAGTCCTTCTTTTCCAAAGTTTCTGACCATGTTGGTCATCGTGCAGTCTTCAAGCACAGTTTTATGCCAGATGGGATATGGCCTTGAGATGTGCTCCACCATCACCACCAGAACAGAGGTATGGGGGAGGTAAGCGGAGATTAGTGTCTCGAGAGCTATTAACTTTGTGTGTTGAGTTCCATTTCGATAACAATGGCCCATTTAAAATTAGGCTGTTTATTTTCATTCATCTCAGAACTCAGCATGAGGATTGCTGTTTCATGGGATGTGACAACACACAGTCTTGTAGAATGTGACCTGCAGCCTGCAACATCAAGATAGAAGATGGATGCACCAAGTTGCTCCAAAATGTTGGTAAATGTATACCAGACTGCATGGTGTCACATTCAGGTTTGTGAAAGTATTTGAATCATTCTGAGAAATTAGAACTTTCTGCATAATCACAGTGAACTGTTTCAATCTTGGACAGATGTTACAAATAGCTATGATGATCCTGCAGAATGGCTGGAGTGACCTCTGCATACCCACAGCAGTGCAGGCACACTCTTAACTTGTTTCATAATGGAGGTAGAGTAATGACAGCACTGGCAGGCATAAGCACGGCATCCTTCTGATGGGAGCACGTGATCCTTCACTCGCTCAAACTCTGGCATATTAGTCCTCAAGAACAAATAGTCTGTGTCTGATAACCACTGAAAATTATCAAAGGTGTAAACAGCAAAGTCACACGAGATACAATGGAGGTTACTGCAGGACCTGAAAGAAGAGAGTGACATTTGCCAGTATAATATGAACAGAACAATGGATTTGAGTTCAGTTATCTTACAAGACAAGCAGCACATACTGCTGGTATGGGGATATTCACATAGGCAGTGATAATTTTTAATATGGATCCCTGTTAGGATATTTAAAAAACATGACACATATTTAATGAAACTGCCTGTGGATGGTCCAAAATGTGGACCGAAATTTATAGCAGTTATTAAATAAAATGATATAAAAGTTAGATTGGTTTAATTTGAAATATTTGTTCTGTTGATGGCCAGAGTATCAGTAAAGTTGTCTCTGTGCTTAACTAATTAAGCACCATGCCATGAAGGCATATGGGGAAGTGAATGTACGGATCCACGTTTTCTTGACCTTGGCCATAGTTGGAGGTGGATGGTCAGCTTCACGCTCCGGCCGATTTACCCCCGGAGAAAGAGCCCCCAGCACCCATTGGATATGGGGTTGGGTGGGCCCCAGAGCCAGTCTGGACGATGTGTACAAAAGAAAATTCTTGCCCTTCCCAGGACTTGAACTCTCACCCCTTGGTTGTCCAGCCTGTAGCCAGTTGCTATACTGACTGCCCTATCCTGTATCACAAAATTTAATGTGGTTTGGCACAAATCATGTAAGGAAGAATTATTTTATATGTTATATGAAATTTATTCTACACCACAGAAGACAGCCGTTGTTACTGATTATGTACATAAGAATAGTGTCTGTAGCCAGTAGCAGAGGATGGTCTGGAAACTGATAAGAAAATTCATTGAACTCTGAAGCCATCAAGACATGCTAAATGCAGTCCTAGAAACATATATTTCTACTAGAACATAACCAATACAAAACTAAGATACTGCCTTTGCATTAAGTCACAAAAATTTAAAAGTTCAAAGACTATATAAGGTAAAACAAAAGTGGTCCCTGTGCTTAACTGAGCACCACACCATGAAGATGTATGAGGAAGTGGAGGTATAGCTCCATGCATCCTTAACCTTTGCATTAGGTGGAGGTGAGTGGTGAGTATTATATTTACTGGACAAGGAGGCTGGTTGAGCCAGTCCAGATGCCATGGAGAGGAGGAACATCTCTGCTCTTGCTGGGAATCAAACCTTGATTCTTCAGTCATCTAAATCACAGCCTAGTCACTATTGTGACTGAGTCAGTCCTGCTCTCAAAGAACATGAAACATGAGTGTATTCAACATTAGTATGAAGAAAAATATAGAACTGGGAACAAATATATCTGGGACACGTCTAGCAGATACACGAGCATACTGATCACTGAAAGTTTAAGGATGATTCTCGTTTCATTCTTCTAATAATGAGAGACTGTGTGGTGGAACACACAAGGGTGGGATTGAACCACATGACACTGAAATGTAAAATATTCCTCAGACTCTTGAAACAGTACAAATCATAGAACTTAAGGTGCTAATCCTTGTGTACTGTACAGTGAATCGAACCTTGGTGCTCCTACAGTTGAACAGCCACTACTGTAGTTGGTGCCCCCTAAATAGACAGGGAAGCATCTTGTTCCAACACATGTAACTGGAATGTTGTCTGTGAGCCCTGCCTTGGTATCGGTGTTGTCTTCTATGTCCCGTAGAATGTCGTCATAGTCTGAGGAGTCACCTCTACAAAAGGACAGTCAAACATTTGTTCAGGAGAGTTTACGTCACTGATAAAAAAGTTTTCTTTCTGTTTGTTTTAATTTTAAGCCACTTATTGAACTCTTAGAGCTCTGATCACCAATGTCTCATCTTCAGAACATTACAATTTAGTACTGTAATGCATATTAGAAATTCATCTAATATAAACTTGTAATCTTATTTTCTTCCTACGTCCCCCAATGTCTCTTTCCAATCCTTTGTATTTGTCCATTCTATAATCATCCCTCTCCTCCTTCCTCTCTCTCTCTCCTTTAAAAGAGGTTATCTGAGTGTCACTCAGAAGTCAGGAGCACGACTATGAAAAATATCAGCTTTGTTATGTACTACATTTCAACGTTTTCCCCTAAATGTCTGCCTCCCCCATGAGTGTAAGCCTACATACAAACAACATGCTGGCTTTTGTAATTATATATATTGTGGCGCATAAAATCTGTTTGCTAGGCAACGACTGCAAAAGAAGCAACAATAAAACAGCTGTTACTGAATAATGGATTTGCAAACAAGCATGTTTCCTCAGCAGTAGTTGTGATGCAACAGAGGAATGGTGTTTTCTGTGCACTACATGCAGAGAAGTTACAAGCAGGATAGGTTAGCGCTGAATTACAGGATAATTAATGACTAATGAAATGGAAGCAATCATTGCCTAATTTGAGGCACTGCCTGAACTAGAAAGATCTTTTTATGCCCCCCCCCCCTGAGGAGGAAACTTCCCCCCCTCATACACCTGATGGTGGAAACAAATTCAATGTCCAAAATGTGTGAAAAGACTCAACGTGATGGACCGTATCCACAATAATAATGTTCATTGTCAGTGGCATCCAGCTAGTATAATGCTGTACTCTCAATCTTATCGTTCAGTAGAGCTCTCTTGTGACATCTACAGTTCTGATTCTTGTAGGGTTCCCCATTTGTGTCCGTGGATTATACTGCTAACATAAAGATGAGCATACCACATCTATGGCAATAGCATTCTGGAAAGCAAAAACTGTGTTTTATCATAAAAACAAACTTTTTAATTTTCATTTTTAAGAGCATTTGTAACTGCTGAATGCCTGTGAATTTTGGCCATCCTTTATGTCCAGCTGCTCATATGCATGGGGGGGGGGCAGCTGAGCAGATTTTTATGAAATTTAATGTTTGGAGATGTTACAGGAAACTGTACAGCAGTGTGAGTTTTCACATGTTTAATGATGGCTTTACTTGAAGACTTACTTAAATAATACATTGTAAATAGACTGATTATAATAATTTATAAATGTTTTAACAAATTCATGCACATTGTAGTAACTGTTATACGATAATATTTTATACCTATGACATTGTAATAGTAGTTCCTGGAAGTATTTATACTGACCAATGACATTGTAATAGTAGTTTCTGTATGTATTGATAATGTCCTTCTGAAGATGGTTGCTTTGACGAAAACATGTAAAGGATGATGAAAGAATAAAAAAAAAACAACATTTATCAGTCACATTGAATGGCGTTAATAAACTACACTACTGCTAGCATGACAGACAAGGATGGACCAAGTCAAATTTACATGTGTTTTTGAATGTATCTTGCTAAACATTCATTGGAGAGAAAAACAGTTCAAGTAAAACCTGCAGAGAAATGTGAAACACAGCATTACATCCAGTGCACTTTCTCTGTAGGTTTTAAACAGTTTTTAAGATGATTAAAAAGCATCGTTAATTACATTTTTAGACTTTCATATTAAACAACCAAGAACAGAACATGACTGCAGTTAACAGAAGAAAAATTAAGCAAAAGACATATTAATTCACTTTAGGCTGTTAAAATTGGACTTCTTTTCTTCTTTTAATGTAATGCTGTGTTATGATACCAAGTTGGAGCATGTATTAAGAAAAATTTTCATTTAAGATGTAATCAATAACAGTGCAACATTTAAGCTGCAATACTGAGTGTTTTTAATTCAACATATTATAACCTGTATACCCACTGCCAAGTAAGTAACAGTTGTTGTTACGGAACAGCTCTGTGGCATGTTGTTTCTCCCTGGTAATGAGAGAACATGCAATAATGGAAGTGACATTTTCTGTGCAGTCCATGCCAGGGCTATAAAATGAGGACTGGTAGTAAACAGCTGCAAGCAAGACTTACATATACAGGGTGTTTCACGACTTCAGGGCATAACTGCAGGAGGTGATTTCATAGCTCTTTGTGATCAAAAAAGTTCATATAAACATGTGTCTGATTTTGGACGGTTACGGAGTTATGACCGTTTTTTCATTCCCTTACACGCCCCCATGTGAACCACGTGTCAGCTGGCAGTTCGCTATTTTTAGCCAGCTACAGATAGAGCGTTCTCGTTATCTCGACACTTGAGATGTACCTAAGGCGGGGAGGGTTGGTATGTCCGGCGCGGTTCACAACCGAGCGGCAGTCTGTGTTGCGGCTGGCGGTAGCATTTTCGAAAATCAGCTTTAAGCACCAATAAATTCAAATTAAAGGTAATTTCACGAAGTTAACTATACATCCATACTTTAAATGCATCATGTATTATGCTGGTTTATTATTTTGTTCCGTTTATTGTCAGTAATCGTTACCTTCTATTCTGAGTTTAAAACTGTCATAACTCCGTAACCGTCCAAAATCGGACACATGTTTATGTGAACTTTTTGATCACAAAGATCTAGGAAATCACCTCCTGCAGTTATGCCCTAAAGTCGTGAAACACCCAGTAGATGTGGCTTTGCTCTTGGAGACACATCTCAAACCCCATGGGAGGTTCACCGTTGCAAATAATCGCTTTTATCTGACTGACCACTTCCCGGGAAGAAAAGGCGTATCCCATGACCATGTAGACATGTGCTACGTGTGCAATATGAGACATCCTTTCATCATAGAACATGAGGACTGTTACCACAAGGGTTCAATGCAAAAAAAGAAATCTCTGGTCCATGACCCTCAAAGAGCTTGGCACTAAGATGAACCGACTGGCGGTAAACCACTGAGTTGAGTCAGTTGTGAGAAGCTGGTAGCTAAGGCCAGGGACAGTCCGGAAACCCAGCGGAAGGGCAGTGTCCAACGTTGGAAGCCGCTACCAAGCAACGGCTAGTGACTACTGAGATTTTATGTGTGCTGTAGTTACAGTGGCCTTAGGAATGTGTAACTCAGTGAAACTGTCATAGTTATTTATAGTTACATTCTGTAAGTGTCCAGTAAATCTGATTTCCCATCCGAACCGCGTCTATATTCACTCCATGTGTCAACTTGTATCAGAAGTGGAATAACTGGATTAACTGGATCGGATTGAAGATTGTGTTGGATATTCATATCGCCATACTACAAAAATGGAGCAAAGATGGAACGGATGATGGCCAAGATAATGTCTGGCGAAAAGAGAAGATGGCTTGCCAAGAAGCGATGAAGCCCTGTCTAGAAAAGGCGAAGAATAGCCTGGAAGAAATGAGGGCCAGGGTGGATGTCTTCGAAGAAAAGTTGGACGCCACCGGGAAGGCGTCTAGGAAAGACGCAGGCCAGTATAGAGACCGGCCAGGAACCAAGGGCCCCGAAGGATATGAAGGAAATGGACACCATGGATATGGAGGCCAATCGAGAAAAGTCAAGAGGCCGTAGCGAAGCAGGAAGTCACTAATGGAAAGGCCACAGTGGAAACTATCGGAGCACTGGAGGACCGATCCATGGACCAGGAACCGAAGGTGGGATGCCGCAACCCTCGGAAAAGGTGGACCAAGCACGATGTTGCACAAGGAGCCCATAAAGAACGAACGTTTTGAGAAGAGACGATGGACGCAGCTGAGATGCAACAACGGCATAAGGACTCGATGTCCAAACCAGCAGCGACGGCTTGGAAGCTGGGGAAATGTCAACGGGAAACTGAGGCAGACCATAGTGTTGGACATCATCAAGCAGGATTCCAAAAATGAGCATCAAGACATTGTGGAGGAGCCAGCCACCGCCCAAGCGACCTGCCCACAGCTGTAGGAGCGCCGGCCACTCTCCAAAGCTTTGCCCGCACCGATCAGAAAAGAAGAAATTAATCAGTTGATAGCTGCGGTTCCAGGAAGTGAGAAGCTGGTAGCTGAGGCCGGGAACAGTTCGTTATAAATAATCGCATTTCAGCCACTAGACTTGTTCCCTTTTCGTAAAAACCGTGTGAACTGTACAGGCATAGATGTATACGATTCTTCGCACAAAGTGAAAACGTATAAAAAGAGGTTATGGCCATCCGCACTTTATATCCACATAAAACTACCTGGATGAGTTTGGCATCGACAGCGTCGTTAAACGAACTAGAAATGAAGCATATAGATTTATATGGCATTTTATACTGGGTATCTGCGCTAAAGTTGACCGAATTTAATTTGGCTCTCCATAAGTTCTGTAAGACTTCACAGGAAGTTGACCGAATTTAATTTGGCTCTCCATAAGTTCTGTAAGACTTCACAGGAAGCTTAAAACGGGTTTTCATCGACACCTTACAAAATCACACGAAAACAAGAATAAATTTAGCCAATATTAAATCCTATATGCCTTTAATTTTAAACGTGTTTCAGTATTGTGAAAGAATGCATGGATGTAGCGTGATCTGTGTATTACTGGCACTGTTACGTCATTATTAATCAATGCGTGTTTATGAAACCCTTTTCTGTTGGCCAATTAAACAGTGTAGTATGACATTGTTACAAACAGTACCTGAATGATGACTGAGATGAGAATATATTGGCCGTTAGAAACTTTCTGGACCTGTCTTCGTTGCCTTTATTTATGAACTTGCTTTCTACTTCTTCTAAGAGTTCATCTATGTCTTGTTCCATATGTGTGACATAAAGCAGTAACTAACAAGAACGAATAATTCTTGCACTACAACGCAGATGAACTTCGATATTTGTCACCGTCTGTACGGTCTGTACAAACATTGTAAACAATACCGTTACAAACGTTATGAGCGTTATGAGAGACCAGAGATAACATAT